CGGCGTGACCATCCCCCCTGGGGGGGTGATTTCTCGCTTTCTGTCTCTATGTCTCTCTCTGTCTGTCTGGCGAGCGCACGCGCCCTACAGTGAAAATCTCTCAAAAAAAAAATGGTATTAAAGTATAAGTTAAGGCACTGGACTCTCACATGAACGACCATGGTTTAAGTCCTGGACCTGACAACTTGAAGATCACACCAGGCGTGTGTGGCTACATGCCCAAAATCCCAGGAGGAGAACAGAGGAAAAGGGACTGCAGTGCAGTCATCCTCTCTGGGGGGTGACTTCTCACCTTCCCCATCTGTCTCTCAGCAAGTACACATGTCCTATGGCAAAAAAAGAAAAGAAAAGAGGGACCAGCAGATGGTATAATGGCTATGTCGCTGGACTCCCATGTAGTCGACTGCAGTTTAAGTCCCGGCCCAGTGGCTTAAACTCACACCGTGAGTGCATGTTCGTGTGTGCCCAAGATCCCAGGAGGAGAATGGAGGACAAGGGATTGTGGCGTGGCCATCCTCCCTGGGGGTGATTTCTGTCTTTCTGTCTCTCTGGCATGCACCCTACAGAAAAAAAAAAAAAAAAAAAAAAGAGGAAAGAAAAAAAGAACATGGGTTTATTTTGGTGTAAAATTGTTTTTTAGATCTATGTATAGTTCTTTCATAATACGCATTTTCTGTAATCTTTTTTCTTTTAATGACAGCACATGACCATGCATATGAGAAAAAGAAACATGTGCACAGCACTCTCGATGGGTCTCATCACACGATGGCCCCTTTCCCCAGCCCCCCATCTCCTTAGGGTGCTGGGTGCCTGCCCACATGCACAGTGTGCTTCCAGGCCAACCTGGGATCTGAACCTGCAGTCAACCATGTCGCTTCCAGCTTTGCAGGGCTCTGGTGTTACCACTGCACTACAGTGGCTGAACTTTCCAAAGATCTCGCGTGCGGCAGAGGAGGGCAGTGTGTGAGAGCCTGTCCTGGCTCTGAGCCTCTGCTACTTGCACAAAAAGAGTGTTGTGGAATAGCTTATCTCTAAAGTTCCTTCCAGGTTTAAAGTTATGTGATTCTAGATTGAAAAAACTAAGAAAGCAGAGAAGAGACAAGAGAAAGCAGGCATGTTTCCAGTTTCCCACATAACATGCAGCTTACAGGTGGCCAGAGGGGGAGTCTGTATTAAATTTTAATGCTTATTCCACACAAAACAATATACAAGCACTATACCACATTTAACAAAGTATTACTTACCATCCCTGTTTTTAAAAGATGTTTATAAATTACTGGAAAGAAAATATGTGGCTGTAAAGTTAAAAACTATCCCTAAGTAAAAGAACAATATAAAACAAAAACGTTTAAGTGAATGACCAGTCCCATAGCGCAGTGGAAGTGGACTCCACAGGGTTCCTATCCCAGCCTCTGCAGCTTGAAAAAGAAACCAGGTGCATAGCCAGGATCCTGACAGGGTAGGTAGTTGGAGGAAAATGGATTGCAGCGGGACCAGGCCCCACTGGAGGCGCTCGCTCTCTCCCTCACGCATGCGTGCATGAATACATAGGCACTGCCTGGAATAAGCGAACAAATGCATGATAAAGCCAGGAGGCCACATGATTAGCAGCCCCGTACGCTGCAGATACTCACGTCTCCAGAAGTTATGAACAGAGTAAACACTGGAGTGAGGGGGAGTTACTTGGCCACAGAAAACTCTGGGAGGAGTCAGGACTAGGCTTCTTTTGGACATGAGGAAAATGTTCTGGAATTAGTGCTGTCAACTGTACACCTTTATGAATTTGCTTTAAAAAAAAATCACTCACTGACTGTACAGGGTGTTGCTATGGTTTGGAAATGGTCCCTCCCCAGAGGTTCATCCTTTGGAATGGATTAGCACTGTGTCCCCTGAGATGCGAGCTCTCACTCTGCTGAGCAGAGGCCAGTTCCTGCAGGCTTGTACAGAAGACGGCTGTGGCGGCCCGCAGGCTTTTTCTGCGCACCTCTGCTAACCTTCCTGCCTTTCTCTGCCACGTTGGGGCACACCAGACTGGCCAGATGCCAGCCCTAAGCCCTCAACAAACCAGCCACCAGGACTGTCAGTCGAATAAACCTCTGTTCTTTGTAAATCACTCAGACTTAGGTATTTCTGTTTAGTGACATAACAACAAACTAAGGTGCATTTTATGGGATATGAATTAAGTCTTTTTTCAAAGAGAGATTTTTGCTATAGGGCGCACGCGCTTGCCAGAGAGACAGAAAGTAAGAAATTACCCCCCGGGGGAATGACCATGCTGCAATCCCTTCTCCTCCATTCTCTTCCTGGGATTTGGAGCATGCACGCAAACGCAACTGGCGTATGTTTTAAGCCACCACGTCTGGGACTTGAACTAGTAAACTATGTGGAAGGTCTAATAACATAACCATTACGCCATATGCTGATCCCATGCCTTGGTTTTTTAAAATAGATGTGGTCAGAGGTGACTAAATAAAGAAAATAATGTGGATAAGAGAGAAGTTAGACTTCAGAGGAGGAAGGAGGAAGAAGGTAGGTTGGAAACAAATTAGGAAGAACTCTGAATGTCAGGAAAAGGTATTGGAAATTATTCTTAAGATGATAGAAAACCAAAGACTCACAGACATAAGAGTGGAAGATTCAAAATGTCGAGAATAATGTCTGTTTCCCTGTGGGAAAGACAAGCCTCAGGTAACCAGGGACTGGGTCCCGCTCATAGGAGGGGTATCTGAGTGTCTGCCATGTGAGTTTGTGAATGCATTTCTATTTCAAGTTACTCTGGTTTTGCGTGAGAAGAGGGGTAAGGAAGAACCCAGACTGAGCCAACTGTGAAGCTAGTTGCAGTAAACATGAGGCCCAGACATGTCCCCAAACCAAGAACATTTACAGAAAGTTGAAAGGTGGGAGAAAGCAAAGGGTTTTGTTCTCCACTGACGATAGGAAATATATTTCACAGGTTTAAATGCAAACATGTTTTATGGTTTCGCTATAGATACACAAAGCTATTACATCTCTGAACAGATTCCATTTGTGTAAAAGAAAGACAAGGAGGAAGGAAAATACGAGAAGTGCAAGGTAAGTAGGAGAGAAAGAGACGATGAGGTGGCTCCTGTCTCTTTAAGTAGCTCCTTGGAGATACATAACTGTAGAAAGCCTGGCAAATACAACATTGATTGGAATGAGGTAACCACAAACACCGCTGTCTCAAATGAAAAGGGATTCAAGATCTGACCCAGAAAACAAGCATCGTAACCACCAGATAAAATTTTAATGATAAACACAAGATGCTCTACATACAAGCAAGATGGAAGCAGCTCCTGCTGAGCCATAACCCTAAGGTTCTCTTGGAAAGAGGAGCCTCTCTGACCCGCAGATCGAGTTTCAGCTTATCGATCAATAAGACTCTGCCGGGGCTCTGCTCTGTGCTGGCATCATCTGTAATGCCGAACAGACCTCCAGGGAGCAGAGGCAGGGGAAGGAGGTGGCATCTGGACTCGCAGTTCGCCTGCCTTTCAGGAGCTCCATGTCCAGATAAGAAATCCGAATTGGCTTTAGAGAGTCAAGTCTCTCCTTTGTTTCTCAGTTCGCTGACAACTCTTTCAGCTCAATCTCATTGGTCTGCCCTTGAGTGTCTTCTGACATCTGAAGCTGAACTGACAGGGTGACCTTTTGGTAGTACCACTAGTGCTCCACATGAATGGGCACAAAGGAGGCTGCATACCACGAGCTGGTAGGCCCTCACTTCCGCAATGAAGCCCAATGCCATACTGCTAACTGGATGGACAGGACTCTGGACTGCGGGCCGTTGATCTTCCTAAAAATAACAGTTCTACAGCACTCCTGAGCAAAGCATTAACCCCTCAATGGGAGTCAGTAAAATAAAAGCTAAGGGAAAGGTCCCTCTTGGGTATATTTTGTTTACAGTAAAAATTCCTTATTCATAGGTGCTGCACACCCACAACATATTACCATACAATAATCCGATTGTTTCACATTTCAATTCAAACGGTGCTCTTCAACGAACGCTACTTAAGGGAAGATTTTTCTTTCAAGGAAAAGGCTCACTCACAACTAGCCGCAGCAGCACCCACTGCAGAGATGCTGTGGTCTGCAGGCTGGGACCATGTGAGAGGCCTTCTGGTCCAACCGAAGGCTGGGCACAGTGGTAGAAGGATAGCAGAGTGACTCTGTCTTTGTTATTTTTATTTTTTTAAGTTACTACTAAGTTAACTCTAAGGTTTATTCCCTCCCTACAGGAGGGAACCTCCCTGAGACGACGCACACCAAAGCCAATGCAAAGTCAGTTTATAAGTTCTGGTCTCTACGCCACTAAGTTTGAGACCACAGTTTGAGACCACAGTTCAAATCTAAAAACAAAACTGAGCTTATTGTGCATTAAAGAACGACATCAGTGTACCTTTTAGCAAAATAGGAAGAATTTATGAAAGTGGTTTTTTGAACAGAAGCTGAAGGAATTTACAGAAGCTAAAATTAAATTTCTTGGCCATGGAGACTAATAAAAGCTTAACAGGACAACTCAAAGAGCAAATACATACTATGCGGTGGGGAAGGAAGATGACGTGTGGCCACAGCCCGTCCTCATCATAAAGGCTTCGGAACAAGAGAAAGAGAGTAAGAACGGGACCCACTGATGCCAACACAGATTATTCTTGCTTGACTTTTTTATGTTTTCATAAAATACAAACTGTCTGTCTTAATGAAAATCCAACACAGCATGCCACAAGAGTGATTTAAAAGCTAAGGAAGACACATTGAGACAAATGGCTTACAGACCCTCCACACCGTTTGCTTCTCACCACCCACTCCGGAGCTCTAGAATCCTAGAGAGCACAATCAGGGAGCTCCTCCCCGTACAACGCGGGCTGTAACTGAAGAAGGTAGGCGCTCTCAAGGGAAGACAGGGCCGCTGCTGCTCAGAGGTGGTACACGAACAATGCGAGACCTTCGGATGGAGAGGAGTAGTGGAAAACGGTTTGGCTTACCCGGCAATGACCACGCCGTCGTGAGAGTGCACATCACACAAAACCGCGTCAGGGATGTGTTCCAGCTCACTCACGGCACCCTTGCGATTCTGCGTAAGGAAAAGGGGGATGCGGTTTATACTGTTCTTGGGATAGCCGGAAGACAAGGCACTTTGCGCTCACCTACAGTCTGTAGAGATTTTCCTATGGCAAGTATTCTGGGCATCTGAAAAGACAAAGATTGGGCCAGGTGGTGGGCTAGCATCATAGAAGGCTCTTGTCTTAATGAAAAGACAAGATGATGCTGTACCCACCTGGGAGTCCCAGGTTCGTGTCCTGAGGCCCCTGTATACACCAGGGGCGCATGCCCATGATCTGGGATGGCTGAGGCTGTGGGTGGATGGCAGAACGAAGACCCTGCTATGGGTGCCTGTCTAACTCATGCCTCCCTCTACCTCTGATGGAAAAAAGGAATTTTTAAAAAGGAGGACAAAGATGACAACTCACATGCTGCGTTGTAAATATGTCTAAGAAGTATATACAAGCTATTACCGTGTATGTGAAAGGCACTGAGCCAGAGGGCAAGGGGTATGAGATGCTGCCCCATCCTCCAGTTGTTGGAATACAGAGGAAATACGTGCACACAGATCATTACGATGCTCATGAGGCTGGTAAATACCTGCGGGAGGTGGCCAGTGTCAAGTTTATAAAGTAGGGCCAGCCCTATAGCACAGTGGTTAAGTTTTATGCATGTATAGCTGGATCCCATATGATCAAAAGCAGTTCAAATCCCAGCTCTGGTGGCCTGAAAAACAAATCCTAGTGGTGTGGACAAATAAAGAAAAAAAGGATTGTGGCACGACCGAGTCTCACTGGGGTATGTTTTCCTTCTCTCCCTCCCCCCGACCCCTCTCTCTGGTGAGCACACACAGCTCCTCAAATTAAAGTGAAAATAAAGTGTATTAAGTAGTTCAGTCAGCAGAGAAAACATTTAATGACCTGTAAACAACTCCTACCAGAATTCTTAGCACAAATGCAAAATCACATGCAAAGGATAAAGATGAGGAAGGGGAGAAGAGATGCTATTGTTCTGATGGGGCAGTTGGAGGTTTCATGGTAACAGTATTTACAGTATTCTAGGACTTCCTGTAAATAATCCTAAAACCTAAACACAGTCTATTCCTGAGGAAATGTACTAGGTAGTAGGTGAAAAGAGGGGAGCTAAAGACGTATTCTCCACCATACGTGCATTCGCTGCTTTTGAATTATTTTACTGTGGTGGTGTTGTTTAATGCTAGAGAGACAGACAGAAAGCCCCCTCAACAGGCATGTTTTTGAACCTACCCGGGGATCCAAACCTGTGATGGTCACGTGGCTTCCAGCCTAGTAGGGCATCTGCATTACCACTGTGCCACTGAAGCTGGACCAGATTATTGATTCAGAAAATAGGTATACAATTTTAAAATAAAAACAGAGGACATGTGAAGGGTATAAAGTTTACATGTGGGAGGATGGAAAGA